TGCGCAGACATCTGGTGTCATAGATGTATGCAGTCATGCAGCTTTATGGCAAATATTGTAGTTTTCATTCCACTACATTTGTCTCATGGCTTTAGTGACTTTCTAAATTACACTTTACACAGTCCTTCTGCATCTGCAAATTTGCTTTTTCTTTTAATTAAAATTAGTCTAATCATAGATATCTGTCCACTGCATTACTTGGACATGTTGCACCAGACTCTGATTTCCTCATCCTCTGTATATTCTTATCATTTGTCCCTTCTTTGTGATTTTTCAATTTAGCACATTTTTATTTATAGTATATTTTTCCACTTTATTGTGCATTTTATATCTTAGTATAATTTTCTATTATATTTATTGTCTATTTTTTGTATTTTTTTTATCACTTTACTCTTTCTGATTGCTATTAACAACAGAATTTCCCCGTTAGGGATCAATAAAGTATTTCTATTCTATTCTACATAAACAATAAGGTCAATAATTCCTTTATGGGCCACATAAATAAACATAAAGAGCATTTCTCTACTTATTAAATACACAAACTTAGACTGACTTTATTAGTCCCCAAAGGGAAATTCAGTTGTTACAGCAGCATGAATATTCAGCAAAGAGGGTAAACAAAGCAAAAAAGACAACACAGAATATTAGGGTAGTAAAATAAAATAAGATAAAAACATAGGGAAATCAATGCAGAAAGAAAGTCAACAAAATCAAACAATACTAAATATCAATGTAAACGCAGCATGTCATATTTGATTGATTTCTATCTGTTCATTTCAACACAGCGGATGAAGTATTCGTTGTTCCGACACACAGTAGAACAGACGTCAGGAAACAACTCAGTGTGCACTGTGTTGGAAATGATCATTTGCAGATCTATAGTGGGTTCACAGGCCAGAAATTACAAGTCAATAACAATCTGCGACACACATAGAGGTAATGATGTTGTCGATGCTGCCTGTGGATTGTTGTTTCGCTGTTCCTGAAGGGCTCGGTTTTAAAGGACGGCGTCACGTTGTCAGACACGTCCGTCCAGCCTGCGTCATGTGGCAGATTGTGTTTCTGAGAAGTTTTCTTTGCTGGTGGACTCGTGGACACTCAAGTACATGGTTACATGTCAGCATNACCTTCTTGCTGCGAGGCAGCGATGCCAACCACCCTTCCACCTTGCAGCCCTTGACACTATCATCATTACATTTTCTACATTTTCATCATCTATTTGCTATTAATATTACTATTTTTACTGTAATATTGTATGTAGACATATTAATACTGTTTTTGATTGTCAAATACCAGCACGATTTTGCACCTTATTTCTTCGACCAGCACAATTTGCACTCTATTTTCTCCATATTTTCCTTACTTTTCTTAAATGTAATGTGTGCGCTACTGAATACCTTAAACTTCCCCAAGTGGATAAATAAAGCATCTATCCATCTATCTATCTATCTATCTATCTATCTATCTATCTATCTATCTAGATACAAATACAAATGCAAAATATCCTACCGTACGATTTTAATGTCTAGATACTGTATAATATTTGATATTTGATCCTGCAGTCTTATGCACCAGTAAATGACACTAAAAAAGCAAATTATCATGAGATTTTCTCCAATTTAATGCAAGTATATGTGAGCAACTCCTTCTTTTGGTGCATTTTCTCCATCAATTATATCGATTTCTATCCATTCTTTTATATTGTTAATGTAACTTCATTTTTTTTTAAACGTTTTAAAGATCTTTAGGACATGCAGGAGTGTTTGTTTTCGTTCTTTCTGAGGGTATGTGAGGTAAAGGTGCGCAGTGAAACAGCGCCATCTGGTGTCCGATGCACAGAATATGGTTGTAATTACAGAAACGTGATTATTAACTGAAGCTAAAGTTGGGTACAGCTAGCTTAAAATAAGCACCGAGAGATTTACTTTATTGGTTATAATTGTAAACTTTCGGACTGGTTATAGAAAAAGCAACAAAAATGAGTTTAGTTGAGCCAGATTTCTTTAGCTTAGCTGTTCGCTAATGAGGAAATAAACCGAAAATAGACGCTGACCATTGACACCTGAACGCCTCACCTTTGACTCGACACACCGACGCCTCCTTCCTGAGGATGTCCGACACAACATCTCTGTGCAGGTCAAACTTCGGCTTCAACTTCAGCATAAGTACGACTTACTCCAGTTTTCACCACACACACAGAAAAAGTCCCCTTTCTATTGAGAGCAGTCCCGGAGAAGAAGCAGCACCTTGCGGCTGCTTCACATCATGTGACCGAAAGTCTGTTTGCTAACTTTGGACTCCAGTGAACGCAGCAGAGCGGTGACAGGTATATATTTAACTTTCTACTGTTTCCTCATCACTTCAAAAATGTGTTGTTGTCTTTTTTCTATTGACATGCGGAAATGTCATGCCGTCCCAAAGTTCGCTCCTCCCTCCTCCGGGATCACACAGCGGGGATAGGCGCTGCCATAGGCCGAGGAGAGCATCCGTCCAGCGGGTTGGAATCTCTCACCGCCCCGCGGGAAGCTCCGGCAGGCGCTTCACAGAGGTGTGTCATGGTTCTGTCCCAACGCTGGACTTTCTGACTGGGGACAGA